TGTCCTGGTTTTTCCTCAATAATTGGAGCTGGATCACCAAGACTTGGAGCCGCGCTGAGTCACTGAATAAAGAGCTGTAACACGGACTAAGCTGAGTCCTGTGTCTTATTGCCTACGATCCAGTCTTCCCGGGGGACGCTATCCTTCCGTCATCGACTCACGGAAATCCAGCTTTAGCCGTCCCGCACCTCTCCTCGTGACCCGGCAACTGACGGGCCCCGAACTTAGAGAGAGAGTGCGCGGGTGAAATTGGGGCGAAACTCTACCGAGCCAGCCTCGGTAGCAGAGACCCACAGTGGAGAAGCAGGGGCCCGCCAGCAACGCAGCGCAGACACGCTGCGGGACCCGCTGCCCTCCAGGTGCACGCAGGGGACCGGCGCCACGCTAGCAGCTGGTGCCCCGGGATCCCTGCGCACCCCAAACCCGGGTTCCATCCTAGTACCTCCTAAAACCAACCCAACAAATCAGGAGGTCACAGACATGGTGGAAGGAAAGAACTGACTCTCATAAGTTATCCTCTGACTTCCATACATGTGCCTTAGCTCATGTGTGCCCACACATGCACACACAGAAAATAGATAAATTGTAGTTTAAAATTTTAAAACATCTGAAATTAATAGACAACTAGGTGGTACTTTTTTGCTTTTGAGACAGGGTCTCATGTAGCCTGGACTGGCCTTGAACTTGCTAGAGATGATCTTGAATTCCTGATCCTCCTGCCTCTGCTTCCCTAGCTCAGGGATTACAGCCATATGCCAGCATGCCCAGTTTAGGCAGTGCTGGGGATGGAACCCAGGGCTTTTTGCACGTTAGGCAAGCCAGCCTGTTGATAATTTTCTGATGTATGAACTCTGCTCTTTGTTATCAGGGGCAATATTCACATGGTTTATGTATATGAACAAGGCTGTGGTGGCTGGGTATGATGATACACAGGCCAAATCCCAGCTGAGGCAGGAGGATTTTGAGTCTGGGGCCAGTGTGGGTAACATAGCAATACCCTGAATAGAAAAAGGAGAAGAAAGAAAGAAAAAGGAAGTGACTGTGGCAAGGCCAACGTGACTGACCCCCGGCTATACTTCCCCTTTGCTAGCAGGCAGGTGGCTACCAGCACCTCACTTCTCTCTGTAGTGTGTAAGCCACATGATCCTGGGGAGAAAGGTCATCAACCTGGGGCTACAAGTTTAAGAAGGTGACAGGAATTTGTGCCCAGTGTCTGTCTGGAAGCCACCCCAGGTGTGAGGGACAGAGGATCACTGGATGTGAGGACGGAGGATCTCTGGGTGTGAGCATGGAGGATTGCTGGATGTTAGGATCAGGATGGCTGAGTGTGAGGATGGAGGATGGCCACTGGGTGTGAAGAAAGAGCCTCTAGAAGCTTGACTCTTGGTTCCTTACAACTTTCAGAGCAGAGCTTCCTGAAGATTCCTTTCTAGAAGAACCCAGAACAACTCAAGAGACATACAATACTGGTAAGTCATTTTGTATGTGATTTGTTTGCCCAAGTTAGTGACTGACACCTTCTAGAAGCCTTCAGTGGATCTTGTGGGCAGGTGGGTACTTTGTTCCTGTCTATTCCCAGGAGCCAAGATTAAGACATGGCTGCCATCCCTTGGGGTCAGCATGGAGCAGTGACACTGGGCACTGGGGCCCCTACATAGTCTTGCCTTCCCTGTCTCTGTGTATTCCTTCAACTGTTGGGCTGTGACTTCTAACAGCAGGAGAGCTGTGTATGGGCACTGTTATGCTTGTTCTTCTTCATGGTATAGAGAGGACATGTGAGTGTGTGTGTGTGTGTGTGTGTGTGTGTGTGTGTGTGTGTGTATGTGTGTGTGTATGTGTCCTATGTCAGGTGTGTCTGTATGTGCATCTTTGTGTTTAGACCAATGCTTCTTGAAAACACAATGTGTGCTGTAGCTCCCATGCTGGCCCATAACCTTCCTGCCATGGGAGACATGGTGCCAAAAGGGGACTCATAATGTCACCCTACCCAAGATTTGTGGTTCATCTTAATTGGCTATTTCCAAGCTATGGCCAATCTTAGAGCTGAGAGAAATAACCCCTTAATGTGTAAAGACCCATCTTCTTTCATACTTTTCTTCTTCCTTGGTACATGATAATACAAAAGGATCAGCTGTGTTTGCTCTCACAAAAGCTGGTTGGTAGCTTGCAGCCATAAGAGCAGAGGGAGTTTGGTGGGGCAGTGTTGACTAGGGAGGCCCCATTTGGAGTGTAGGAGCTGGTTATACACATTGATTTTCAAGATTGTTGGTTGTATTGGGGCAGATTGGTGCATTTCTGGTTGGTGAGATTCTTTTATTTGTGTGTGTGTATGTGTGTGTGTGTGTGTGTGTGTGTGTGTGAGCGTGAGCATGTACATGCCACGGCTCTAATGGCTCTAATGTGGAGGTCAGAGATAACTTGTGTGAGTCTCTTTTTACCCTGGATTCTAGGGATTGGACTTGGGTTTCGAGGCCTTCACAGAAAATGCCTTTACTCAGTGAAGAGCCATCTTACCGAAAAATTCACTCTTCTGAGGAAGTCTAAGTTGGCACTTGGTTTTCAAGTGTCACTTTTCTTCTTCCTCCCCTCCCCCTTTTGATCATTTGTCTTTGAATTTTGTTGGCCCCTCAAATGTTTGGGGAATCTTAGGATATGAGGAATTTGAAAGAACAGACAATTTCATGTACGCACCACATTAAGAAAAGCATCCCAGAGAACCAGCCTCAGAGGACAGCCACTTCCTCTCACTTCCATGTGGCTGTCATTAAAAAGGTCTTTTACCGAACTTAGGGGTCACAACCTGTTCCCCAACAAGACAGGTTTGTCCTCAGTAAGCCAACTGCAGAAGCCAAATTAAAAATGAAAGGTGAAAAGTAGAAAAAGGAGATTTGTTCAGTGTGACCACATTGGGAAGAAGGCCAAGAAGCTCCCAGACACTGTCAAGTCCATCTTTGAGGGGGTGGAGTCCTGATTTAAAGGTGGGGTTTAAGTAGAAAGCAAGAGATGTGCATATCTAAGCAGATGTGGGCAAGTCCTCTGCCTAAGCCCCTCCTGCAAGGTCAGGCTTACTGCTAGGTCTTCAGGAGACAAGTTTTTCCTCTGATGCCCACAGCTTCTCCCAGGAGGAGATTTCCGGGAAGTTCTAACTTCTTGGGGTTCATTCTTTCAACAGTTTGATAGCCAAAGAGGAAATACAAGTGTCTCGTTAGAAGATGTCCATTCCTATCAGACACGCTGATTACGGGATGGAGTGCATTCAAAAAAACACATTCCTCTTTTTGTATATGTATAGAGGGGTCAGAGAAGCGGCAGGAGACAGTCACTAAATGAAGAAATGCATTAACATGTGAGAAATCACACCCAGAATCTCTCTGTCCCTCTGTACGTAGTTGCCTTAGGCTTGAATTTTTGGTGTTCTGACTATAGTACAGCATATTTAAGACATCAGGATTTTTTAAAGGTTTTATTTTTGTTTATGTGTGTGTGTGTGTGTGTGTGTGTGTGTGTGTGTGTGTGTATACACAACATGTCTATGAGTACCCCCTGAAGACCAGAAGACAACATCGGATCTTCTGGAGCTGCAGTTACAAGCAGTTGTGAGCTGCCCAATGTAGATGCTGGGAACAGAGTTCAGGTCTTTTGCAAAAGTAGCAAGTGCTCTTAACTGCTGAGCCTTCACTGTAGCCCCTGAGAAACTGGCTTTTCTTTTTCTTTTTGAGACAGGGTCTCCCTGTAGTCCTAGCAGTCCTGGAACTTGCTATGTAGACCACTGACCTCAAACTCACAGAGATCCATCTGCCTCTACCTCCCAATTGCTGGGATTAAAGTCATGCGCCACCATGCCCAGCAAGACACTAGTTTTTAATAGCTGAATTAATTATGCAAAAACATAGTTCATTGCTTAAAATACAAACAAAATGCGAATTACTTGAGCATTCATCTCCTCCCCAGAGGGTGTGTGTCCATCTCCCTGTCTGTTCATGACTTAACGCCAGGTGTTTGATGTGTATGAGCTTGTATGTGTGGCTGTATCTTTAGGATGTATGTGCGTCTGTGTGTGTGTCACGTCTGGTGTCTCTGTGTATATATCTTTATGTGTAGATCAGTACTTCCTCCACACCTTGCTTAGACTGGTACACCACATGCACACGGTGGCCCAGACATATCCGCCCTGGTCTGTGACAGCACGTGTGGCCTGCCCCAGCTCAGAAATCCATGGCAGTTCCTGCGGTCCCAGCACTACATCAGGTCCTTGTCCTCACAGCTCCACACACTGCTCACAGCGCTGCCACCCAAGAACCACCAGGTGGCAGAGTTGTTGCAAGTGACCCCCTCCCCGCAAGTGCCCCCCCCAAATCCTTTGTCCCCCACCATTGCCAGCACTGACTCACATATCTGTCTTCATTTCCTTAGAGGAGTTAGGTACCCACGGAGTTAAGACAGGAAACAAATTCCCCTTTTAAGCAAAACGTCAGGAGCCTCGTTCATCATCCTCTCTCTCTTTTGTGGGCTGAAGTGCTGGTATCAGTGGCCTCCTGAGTAGCTGCCATCTGCTGGTATTCCAGAAGCCTCTCTGCTGAGTTCTCTCTGGTTCTGGCCCCCCAGGGGCCCACACAGCTTTTATAAACAGCACAGTGGTCTGGGTTCTACGGGCTGGGGCCCAGGATCAAGCCACCACACGTTTGATGTCTGGTGAGGACTTTGTCCTAGGTGTCCATGGATGGTGCTTTCCTGGTGTCCTCGCCTGGTTGAAGGGGCAAAGGAGGCCAGCCACCTCCTGGTACAGACCCACACTGTCATTGGGAGCCAGGGCCATTCCTGGAGCTGGGAGAGGCATCCTGGAGGGTAGGAAGAACATTGTGAGGCCAGGGGAGAGGTTGTACTTTTCCAGGGTTAAGCCTTGTAGGGCCTGAGATGGCAGCATGCTACTCTCATTGGCCACACAGCCTGTAGAGAGAGATGGTATTGTCAGGATCCATCTTAAGTGTGACCTATGTAATACGTGTGCCTCTACCCACGTCTCTACTGATGACCTCTGGTCCCCCCTGGAGTACCCCCTGTCGTCATGGCTGCTTGATGGGCACTGTGGCTCTCACATGCCCTGCTTCGAATGCTGGTCTCCTACCCATTGCAGCACCCACCCACTGCTCAGGTTCAGGGTGAGGGCGGGGTGGGAGGTTGAGAGCCTGTCTGAGATACCTGCTGGGTCTTGCTGCCCCTGTGAGGTGGCTTGAGGTTGAGTGCCATCCCTTGGATGGTGCCACCCAGTTGTCCCTACTAGCTGGGCCTGGCCAGTGCAACTGCAGGGTTAGCGGGTCCCTGCCACCTAGAGATCTGCAAGGCTCTGCTCTGAGGCCTCGGAACACAAAGCTGTCAGGCTGGCCGCTCAGGAGCTCCTGACCCTGGATTCCTGTAGGAACGGGCTCTTTGTAACTCCATGTACAGGCTGGCGACACCAGCACCCTCACTGGGTATGAGCGTTGCAGGGCAGGGCACCAGGCCAGTGGCTGGCAGGGAGTGGTTGGGAGGACTGTGCCCAGCTGGGAGGGAAGGTGTGGCTGGCTAGCTGGCCACAGTCCCAATGACCAGAGCTTCACCTTCCTGTCTAGGCTAATGTGCAGGTAGGAAGTTACCAAAACAGGCTACCAAGGCCAGCATCTGAGGAGGCTGTGGTCCAGGAGGCAGTCTGCCCTCCCACAGCCACTCTAGATGTCATGTCATATTTTCCATGGTGCCCTGGAAGACCTTAAAGATCTGTATAGCTGAGAAGTGTTCCCTTGGTGATCTGTCTCCCACTGTCAGATCCCAGCTAGGAGCCTGGGCTAAGAGGCTACTCTAGGTCAGTGTCTATACACTTGTACATATACACAGATACACACTTGGTGCATATCTGAGGATGTTTGCGCGTACACACATACAAACACACACACACACACATATAGATTTGCATCCATACATGTTTCTACACACCTGCAGACACACAAATTTGTGTGTGCACACATGTATGCATGTACTTATATACATGTCATGTATCGATACACCCTTAAATGTTTGCAGGTGTGCCCATACACATATGCATACAGAATCACAGTGCACCCATACACATACATGTGCATACGCATGTGTGCACTGGTTGACATGCTGACACAGGCGCGCACACAGGTTCACGTGTACAGTGTGTGTGTACGGGCACAAGCACACATAGACATGGCTATATTCATGTGCACTGGCAGACCTGGGCTGGGTGCTCAGCTCTGTGACCTAGCCCTTGTCCTTGCTGAAGGGAGTGGTGGGGTGCTTCTGTTTCTAGCTGCAGCCCCTGCTGAGATTTCCAGGGGTCCCTGGAGGTGGAGAGCTGCCTCCTGACAGTTTTGACAAACGGGAGGGAAGCTCTTTCTCCTGCGTTTAAAGTGGGCAAGTCACTCCTCATCTTGTGGTACTGGGATCTTCTTGACCTTGTCTCTAATGG